AAACGTTTGGAATGCTACTTGGAAAAAACTATCACAAGATATATTATGCAACCAAAGAAAAAATACGGATAAACTAAGTAAACTCATGTTTTTATCAAAAGAAAACGTCATTAGAAATTGTGTTTGGGTAAATATAATTTTTTACATGTTCTTTCAGACTTGGAGTAGATTGAATCAATCATGCTTTTGAACGGAAGCTTATTGACGTTGTTTAAGTTTTGAACGTGTTATCAATAGTATAATCTTCTATTGGTTAAGCTGTGGCTTTTGTTAGAATTTCTATTAATTGAATTTTTTGTTTTACTTTTGTGGAATTCACGTTATTGTAATGTTATAAATTAATAATAAAAACATTTTCTCATTATTGTCGTATAAGTTCTTAAGTTTTATTACATCTTCTTTTTCATAGTATTGTTTTATAACTTTTATTAGATCACTGAAACAAAAAGTGAATTGATGTATCAAATGTACTAATCTTTAATGACTTAATTAAATTCGGTTGTCCCAAATCAGAATAACGAGAGAGAGAGAGAGAGAGAGAGAGAGAGAGAGAGAGAGAGAGAGAGAGAGAGAGAGAGAGAGAGAGAGAGAGAGATAGAGAGAGAGAGAGAGAGGGATATGTGTAACATTTCTTTTAATCTGTCTACATACATTTTACGAAAAATTATGCATAATAATATTCACCTAAAATAAAGAATTACAACACATATACAATACAATTCTAATTAGTGATAATAGAAAATATGTTACTTATAAAACTACACATTATTAATTTCAGATTTGGAAAATAAAATTCAACCTTCAACACACAATTTTTTTTCGTGATGTTGCAATTATAAATACACACAATAACTATCTATTGATACTGAAGTTACTTTGTTCCATCTCCTCCATGTAAAATATTGTGTACCGACATTTTTTTGTGCCTGAAGCTTTACCTCAAAGACGGTGGTCTTATGATATAAAATCTATTACTTCTAAAACTTTGTATTATTAAGTACATAATTTTAATCTGTATATACCCGCACAGGGTGCGGGCCGGTCACCTAGTCTAACCTAAAATCTCTCGCCATATAAATACATTGTACCTTTTAATTTTCCAATTAATTTTATACTAATCCTTTAAACAAATGTGGACGTAATCCTTTCATGTTTACTTCCATATAATTATGTCAACCTTATTCCAGAAGACATAAGATTAATGTCAACCTTATTCTAAACCACATAAAAGATGTGGACGACATCGATCATATTAACTATATGTCAACACATATTTTTAAAAATGTATTATCTTTCTTATTAAAGAACCTTATTCCATAAGATCTGACATGCAAACGGTTTGCAGCAAACCAATATGATACATGGTTTAGAGTTTCATTATGTGATTAGTCGTTTGTACACAAACATACATAGCTACAGAACACCTTTCTCAGTTTATATGTGTTAGGTATGACAAGGTGTTCATACATGTGATAACAACATAGACGAAACTTGGAGTATACATTAACTTGCCAACATAGAACTTCTCTAATAATTAAGATTATGTTTAAAAACTGAATTCTATTATACTCCATCAACAATATTCTATAATGAATTCATATATTTTTTATATCCGTAACTACTTTTAAATTTAAATAATGAATAATTTTTAAAATCCAAACTGGATTGGATATCGAATCAACGGGTTTATCGGTTTGACCGCGGATTCAAATTGGTTTAAAATCAGTGATTTTGTTACAAAAATATTTTAATTAGATTTTCTTTTATAAAATAACAAAACCAATTTAAAATTCTTAATTAAAATTTACTTCATAAAATATTCCCTAAAATATCCCGCGTTTTCTTTCTATAGATTAGTTAATATAAGAAATTGCCTTTCTCTAAACAATTATAACTGTTATAATTGGGTAACTACAGAGAGAATATATTATATTGGAAATTTTAAAAACAAAGTTTGAAAATAATGTCTGAAATGCATATGTCACAACTGTGTAGTTATGTAACTTGACATATTTAATATAGTTATCAAAAATTATATTTAATTAAATTAATATTAAACACAAATAGGATTACCAAAAACACAAATATCAAAATTAAATTTCCCAAAAATACATAAAACAAAACATATACCCGCCCTTTGAAAGGGCGGGTCAGTATCTAGTAAATCTTTTAAATCAAAATACAAAAAATTGATGGTTTTATATGTTGTTATATGAAGATAAACTTTAAATTAGAAGTTTTGACAGGAATATTCTAATTGGAATAGTAACATAACATAATTTGAAAACCAGGGTGAAAAGAAGATACTATAGGCATTGATTGCAAGTAAGCACAAAATGTTTTCAGAGAATTGAATATCCGAAGACTGAAAGTATCTTTTTAATATTTATTTGAGTTTCATGTGTCACATCAGTATTAAAGAAAAACATATTGTGTGCCTATTGTAACAAGGAATATTCTGTTGCAATAATGTCCCACCCTAATCATAGTACCTTCCAATCTACTTGTTAGTTTCAAGTTCTCCAGTTATATAAGAAAAAAGAATAAGAGTATTGTTGTAATTAAAGTGAATGGTAGCAGTACAAGATTGGAGACTAAAAAAAATCTAATATTGTTAATTGGTATGTTCAGTAAGAATTGATTAGCCATATGTCCAAGCATGAACGACTCTTCTTCTGTCTCTCCTTTTCAAAAGTCATCTCTGTTGTCAAATTGAGGCATAGATCTCACAGAACCAGTCTCAGACATGTTATCCACGTCAGATCTTCTAATCGATCTAGTTGATCCTCCTCCTCCTCCAGTTTCTTTCGTCTTCTTCTTCCTCCTTGATTTCCTAGGAACTTCCGGTGATGTTCCTACATTTGGACTAGACCACGAAGAAAACTCGTTTAGTTCAGACACTTCCTTTGGTCTTCTTGACGATGATGAGGTTCCTTTTTTCGAAGATCTGCGTTTAGTTTTGTCTGATGATGATATTTCCCTTGTCGGAGAACCTTTCTCGGAAGCCGCTTTCCTCGTTGATTTTGGTAGTTTTGGTAAATCTCTGGTCCGATCGCCACATTCCGACATACATTTCGCAGAGGAATCATCTTCTCCACCTCCTTGTCCAGATTCGGATCCTCCACCAGTTTTGAAGTCGTTCATCTTTCAAATATGAAAATATAGACCACACATTAGAACCAAATAAAATTACTCCTAAAGGAAAAATTATTCCTGGCTAGGCAGGCATGCATGCATAAGGTCATTATACGTACCCAGCTTGGTGCGGAGGCAGGAGTAGCAGATGGTCCATCCCAACCAATATGGGCAACATGCTTTACGTCCGTCGGATTTCCGATCTCTATCTCTTCTTCTTCTTCTTCTTCTTCTTTTCCAATTTCTACCATAAATTTTATAACCAATATAATACTCCCAAAATGAGTATTAATTGAATGTATTTATGATTACTATACCATAATTATTTATTCATTCCCATTCAACATGTACAATGCATGCAAACTTTCTTCTATACGTGATATATAGGTTAGAGTATTCATAGTTTATGATTCAGAAACGTAGTATAAACTTCGAAAAGGAAGAAGTTAATTACCAAATACTTGAGAAATGTATCGGAGGCCTTTCAATAGGCTTTTCATACTTGAGCTTGCCATTGTTTGTTGCGTAGATCTTGAAGTCCGGCGCTTTTTTTTTTGTTTACATAAGAAAATGAAAGAAAAAGGGCTAGTAATATGGAAACAGAAAATGAGAAAAAATCAAGAAGACAAATCAAAGAAAAACGATTGCATACAAAAACAAGGATTTTACAATCGCAAAATGTTGGGTTTTGAAATACTCATCACTTTTCCAGAACAGAATAATTTGGCGGCAATCAGATAAGGAGGAAAACAATCGTATGAAAGATCACAAAACTGACGAAAGAAAATTGCATCTCAGAAAATTGTAGGTTTATCTGAAATAGCGGATTATCCTATATTAAGAAAAAAATCTTCGAATTTCAGGAGTAAAATAACAAGGAACAAAGGTTTAGCAAGCGAAGAAATGAAAAAAAGAAAAATCAAAGGAAACTAAAGAAAATGATTGTTTGAAGAGTAATGGTGGAGAGTGTGTAAAGGTACCACGGTAAAAACGAGGGGAAATCTTTGTTTTAACCAATATTCCCATTATTCTTATGGTTAATATTTTTGTTTTAGTTATTAATCAGAACTAATCAAATTTAGAATTTGTAACTTTTGTTTGAAACACGACATATTTTTCATTCATAACTTTTTTTTTCCTCTTCTTTTTTTTTTGAAAAAAAAGAGCTTTCGATTTTTCATTCATAACTTACATGGATAAAATCAAAACATCAGACATACGACGTGCGGTCATTTGGAAAAATCAAAAGCAAAATAAAATAAAGATAAAGACATAAACTTTTCCATAAAGTATCAAAATCGATTTGAAAAGAGTCACTAGCGAAAGATCTCATGGAATTGCGTCTTTTAAACATTCATACTTGGAAATAGTCACTGTATCTATAGTCTCATCGAAATATCTTTCGATCTCAACTGAACCTATACAACATAATCAGCTGTTAGAAAAACGACGATACTCTTTGACTTTCGACCAAGAAAAAGATACTTCTCATGGAGAGGAGTTTTATGAAAGTGCATACTGTGGCTAGATTTATGTGTCATAGTCCTCTTAGAATACGTGTGAGCGTAAAGTTAAAACTACATAAAAAATTTTATCGAGGTTCGGTTTTCATATATTTCCGGAACTTTAGTCCAGAACAAATTCACTAGAGCAAGTTGTAATTACAGTTGCTATGTTATCCAACACTACAATGTCCACCATTCTTTTTTTATATTGATGAACTATGAAATTATTTTGTTTGTAACATAATTCTGAACTTGTAAATCTAGCATATCGGATTAAATTAAGGGAAAATTGGAAAGAAGAGACACTTTGAACTAAAATTTGGATAAATAAGATTTGTAGAGCATTTTTTAGTCAAATAGTATTTTGAACTTCTTTAATACCATAATACCCCTAAAATTTACAAACTTTAAAAATAGATTTATATATATGTATTTTCGTAAATCATTTAATAACATAAAAGGAAAATTAAAAAAAAATAAAGTTAAAGTTAAAAACACTTTTGCCCAATTACCCAAAAAACACTCGTCTCTCCTTTAATCTCTTCTCTGCCGAACCTTACTCGAAGCCTTCAATGGCGATTTAGGGTTCATCTTCGAAATTTCTCTCCTCCGTTGGTCCTCGTCAGAGATTTCGTCGGAGATAGAGCCTTAGTCGAAGCCTTCTCTCTTTCTCTTCATCTTCCTCTTTGTTCTCAAGGAAATCGAACACAAGAACATGTTTCACCGGAGTCTAAAATCGAAGTCTTCTTCCTTCAATTTCAGCAGCTCGGTTTTCTTTAAACATCAAAGTAAGTGATTCGAGTTCTGGCCCTAGACTATCCTAAAAACCCAATTTTTCATCTTTCTTAAACCTAAATTAGTTGTTTGGGTTCCTTAATCATCTAATTAACAAAATCAAGCATTGCATGTTATCGATTTGATTTTTGTGTTTATTAGTATCGATTTAGTTTTTGTTTGAATGGGTTCGAATTCTAACCCTAGATTATCCTAAAAACCCAATTTTCAACTTTCTTAAACCTAAATTAGTTGTTTGGGTTCCTTAATCATCTGATTAACAAAATCGAGCAATGCATGTTATCGAATTGATTTTTATGTTTATGAGGATCGATTTAGAATTTTTTTGAATGGGTTAGAGCTCGGGTCTTGCAGTACTTTAGTAGTTGGTGTCGGTAAGTTTTGTTTACAGATTAGGATGTAGCTTGTGAATTGTGAGAGATCGATTTTGTTGTGGTGTAAAATCATAACAACATAAGTTTATGTTCTTTCTTTGTTTTTGTTCTCATCATAGGCTTTTGTCTTCACTTGCAGGTATGTCAGAGGAGTTACCAAAGCGGCTTTTTAAGGAGGGTGAGGAGACCCAAGTGACTCAGATCAATAACAACTGCAGGTTGGAGTACATCATGAGAATGCTGAAGGAGTGGCTGCCAAAGGAGTTCGAGGTCGTGAAGAAAGATCAGGTTTTTGCTGAGATTTTTAAGCTGCACGAGAATGGTTTGGGGTACTCCGCGAGAGTGATACACAGCTTCTTGTGTAGGGAGCTGTTGACCTACCGAATGAAGGAGCTTTGGTTTACCTTTGCGAGGAGGCCACTCAGATTCTCACTGATAGAGTTCCACGCAATAACGGGACTTGAGTGCAAAACCAGTATCCTAATGAAGGAGTTTGATGACTATAAAGATGATGGTGGTTTCTGGAGCAAAGTGCTGAAGAAAAAGAGGTAATTAGTATGTTGAAGTTGTGGAAGCAGCACAGGGAATCTGTGAAGAAGTGGCGTAATGCAGATCGCATAAGGCTGGTGTATTTATGCATCATTGTTTATGTGGTTTGCGCGAGAGGTGAGAAGACAAATATCCCTCTGAAATACATCAAGGTGGTCATGGATCTCGATAAGCTTCGTAGGTATCCTTGGGGAGTTGCTGCATTTGATCTTCTCTGCGAATCAGTAGCCAAGACGCGTGATAAACTGAAGACGAAGACCTCAAATTATGTGTTAGATGGCTTCTCCTACGCCTTGCAGATTTGGGCAATGGAAGCAGTGCTAAATATTGGAAAGCTTTGTGGAAAAAAAACTTGACAAAAGTTTTCGTGATGGTCCTAGATCCATTAACTGGATGGGAGCTGCAAAAGTCTCATATGAGGAGATCATTCAGTTGGAGAATATCTTTACAGCAAAGGTTAGTATTTCATTTTGACAAATTGAATTCATAGGTTTTAAAATAGTTATAAGTATCTAACTTTGTCAACCTTTCTTTTGTAGGATGTCGTTTATCCATACATCTCTTGGGGAGGGGATTATGTTGTTGTTGAACAAGCTGAATTTATAAGAGAAGATGAGGTAGAGGATGATAGAATCAATGTTCTGAAGCAGATGATAATGAATAACCACGACTTCAGTGGTCATATTTGGGAGTTCGAAGAAGACACAACAGAGCTTTCTTTAGAGCTAGATGACAAAGAAGGAGAGGATGATGAAGTTGCTCAGTCTGAAAAAGTAACAAAGAATGGTGAAGAAGCTGAGAGTGATGAGGACTTTCAAACTCCAAAACAGTCAAGACACAGTGACTCTTCGGCTAGGAAAGGGAAGAAGAGGCTCCCGGATCGTGGTATGGAAAAAAAGAAGCATAAGGTTCTCTCTGCTAGACCACAGCAAGCGCCCCTTGGTGAAGATATGAAGACTTGGATGGCACAGTTATTTCAGCAAAATATTGAAGCAATGGAAGATAGGCTTCAGAAACAGATGGCTGAGAGATTTGAGAAGATGCAGTCTGAGCTGCAAGGGTCACTTAAGGTTGGAGGAGGTCAACTTGATCATGGAGAGGCATCCCCGAGGAAATCATCCCCAAGCAAGCCATCGGCAAGCAAGGCGAACACAAGCATGCCATCACCTAGCAAGCCAACTCTGAGGAGATCCGAGCGCGTGGTAAAGAAACACTAGTCTTACTACTCTAAAATGTTTATTTTGCTTGCTTATTGTATGATTTTGCAACTTTGTGTGTGTTAATGTCATCTATGTATTGTCATGAACTATCTTGTGTTTGAAATTGTCTTCTTTTGGGTTTGTTTGTAAGTGTGCTTTGTTTGTAAGTTTGTGAACTTATAACTTATCTAATTGATTCTTTTGTGCTTATTTTTGTGAACTTATAAATTATCTAATTGATGCTTTTGTGTTTATGGTTGTGAACATATAACTTATTTAATAGATCATTTTGTATTTTGAATGAGCAGGATGCCAGTTTGAGTGAGGGAGTAGATATGGACTTTGATGCAGAGATAGGTACCCAAAGCGTAGAAGGGCTTTCTCAGGCATCATTTGTGCCCGGATTTGATCCATCGCAGACCAATAGGGAAGACGGGACACGTGATTTTTGGACTCCGTTGACTTCACTTCGACCTCCAGTAACTGTGGCAAAGGAAGGAAGTTCAGCTCCACCGCCTACAAGGTGGGAGAAGTGGTACAAAGGAGGAGTTAAAACACTTCAGCTCAGTGATTCACCACTTCCTCAAGATGGTTCTCCGGAGTCCCCGTTGTATTATGTTGCAGAAGACACATGGACCAGATTCAGTGAATGGTCTATGTATCCAAAAACTTTACAGTTTGGTCCTACAGCCTTCAACATGACCATAGCTACACGGATTATTGCAGCTGGAAAATGGCTTGGAAATGAGGTATTAATTGTTGTTTTGTTGAGTGGTGTAATAGGATTTTGAAGATGTATTTGATTTATGTTCTTGTGTTGCTTTCAGAAAATGGATGCGTTTATGTATATGTGGTGAGAGAAGACATCTCTGCGGGGTTGGAACGTAGACCGCATTGCTTTCATAACAGCTACATTCTGCCTCCAAATCGACACAGCATATCACAAGTTTACTCGTAACAAAAGAAGTATCAGTTGCCCAATTTTCTTCTTGCTTACGGTAGAGGAGAGCTTCCAGCTTATGGGCGGACTAACAAAACTTGGGGTGTTGATGTTGATAAACTGTACTTCCCATTGTTTGTGAATGGTAAACACTTCGTCCTCATCATGTATTTATTTCCCTCTCATTTTTAACAACTTTATCAATGTCCTGTGTAGGTAACCATTGGATTGCAGTGTGCGTGAACATCATTGAGAAAATAGTGGATGTTTATGATTGCTTTCAAGGGAAGAATAGGCAACACGTTGAGAAGTTTGCTGTGATGATTCCACGCATAGTGAAAGCTGTTGCTCCTCCTGAAGAGAAGAAGCACCTTCTGCTGGAAAAATACACCATCCACGACATTCCTTTGAAGTCTAGGTTGAACAAGTCTTGTGCGGATTGTGGGGCGTATGCACTCAAACACTTGGAATGCCTCTTGCTTGATCTAGATCTCGGTCTTGTTGATGATGAAATCATCATGGGTTGTCGACAGAAGAATGCTGTGGATATATGGGGGGCTACTCAAGATCCCATTTAAATTCAGCTTATGTTGCAGCATGTGCCTTCGGAATTTGAGACTTCTGAAGTCTATGACATTGAAGACGATTGATTATAAGTATGCTCCTATGTTTTTGGTTTTCTAGGATTTTGGAATATGTATTTTTAGAACAAGTGTTGTTTGGTTTTCTAGGATAATCTCAAGGTTCTTTTGGTTTAAGACTTTGGATGATTTATGTAACCAATGTTGTTTGGTTATCTAGGAATTGAAGGTTATTTTGAACATTTTTTTGAACCTAAGTAACTCTAATCTAACCCTATTTAAACCCTAAACCCTAAGGAAACCCCAAACCAACTCTAAGTATGTTTATGTATGTTTGGGGTTTAATTACTCTAATCTAACCCTATTTAAATCCTAAACCCTAAGGAAACCCCAAACCAACTCTAAGTATGTTTATGTATGTTTGGGGTTTAATTACTCTAATCTAACCCTATTTAAACCCTAAACCCTAACGAAACCCCAAACCAACTCTAAGTATATTTATGTATGTTTGGGGTTTAATTACTCTAATTAAACCCTAAAACCCCTACTGCCTCCTATGTAAACCCCAAATGGGGTCCAAGTATACCCCAAAAATACATAAAGGACCCTACTATATACTATACATTTTGAAAGTATTTTGTAAACTATACAGATTTATGCTCGTTTTCTATGTATTCACTCTAATACATAGGATTTCCCTTCAAAATGCTCAACTTTAGTAGTATGACGAAGTTGTTCAAGTCTAATAAAATCGTTGATCTGCCTTAGGTAGAATATGTGTTCTAACTTTACGAGAACGACGTCGTATTGAAATTTTTTTAGACCTAGTCCCATCTTCTTCCTCATTCTTTCATGACAAGAGAGAGCATACGGCGAAGAGTTGGAGATCGACACAGCCATGTCTTCGTGTTTATCGTCGTCCAACTCAAGAGATCGAATCACCAAACAACGTGGAATCCCAACAAAATGTAATTGCGGTGAGCAAGTGGATCTCTTGACATCGAAAACTCTCAAAAATCCCGGGAGATTATTTCATCGTTGTCCGTTGGGATCCGACGAGGTATCCTTGTATAGTCAGTTTTCAATTACAAAATGTTTGTTCGATGTGATTTTCTAACAGCTTGTTCGATGTGTTACATGAAGGACAAAACACACTTGTTCAAATGGACTGATAAGTCAGTTGTTGAAGAAATTGAAGATTTCCAGGATGTATTTGACGTTCTGCTCGCTGACAATTCCCTGTTTCAAAGTTCACTTACAATTTGTGAATCATTGCTGAAACGCCATGTGAGTAAAATTAAAGAGCTGAAGATGCAATTGCAAGTTGTCAAGAGAAGAACATGGACTGCATTAGGCAATTAAGTGTCATAAAATCTATGTTTGTGTGCTGTTTGGTGATGGTTTTTATGTACCTCATCTATGCATGATGGTTCTGATGAACCTTTTCGATCCTTTGTTGCTTTGTTATTCAAATAAGACCATATTTAAGCATTCAAATAAGACTTTGTTTCAGTCAGAAAAGTGTTGCAAAGATCATATTGTCAGAGAAAAAAAAACCAGAGAACAAAAAACGCAAAAGTGCAAACTAAATAGGTAAATCACATGTTCCTCTCTTATGTCATTCGATACCACACCGACTGCACTTGTGCTTTTTATTCTTTTGCTGTGAAGCTTTAATCTTGTCTTCTGCTGATTCATACCGTCTCTTAACTGGCCTACCACCACCCTTTCTTGAATCTGGTGGTAAAACATTCGCAAGTCTCACCTCATCTGGGACATTCCATTCAGACTCTGGAATGGAAATTGGATTAATGGATTCTGCATAGGCAGCTCTCCATGTTGCAGTGGTGTAAAGAGGATCAGTAAAGCTGTGTACTTCCAGTCCTGTCTCCAAAAAATATAAACCGAGTCATATCTACAATCTGCGAAAAACCGAAACCAATATAGGTCTCAAGAGAATGTGTTTATACCTCGTGAATATATAGCAGGAATGGCATGTCTGCAAGGAATTTTTCCTATATCATACTTCCCACATGTGCATATTCTATTCTCCAAATCAACATAACAATCATATTGGTCTCCTTTAACAAGTGATCTGAAATCGTCCACCTTTTCAACACTAAATCCTCTTGCCTTCACAATCCTCCTATCAATCTTCTTCTCCACCTTTTCGGTTAAGGGGTCAAGATGTTTGCAGCTAAACATTCGACGCTCATAGAACCATCGGGTCAGCAACTCTCTTATGCTACCTAGCAAAGGAATAACAGGAAATTCTCTAGGTGTTCTCAGCACTGAATTTATTGACTCAGCAGCGTTAGTGGTTCTAATGTCGTATCTCTCACCAGGGAAGACAGAACGAGCCCATTTCCTCACATCAGCCTCCTGTAGATATCTTCCGAGTGCAGGACTAATACCAAAAAGTTCAGTGAAGCGTTCTTGAAATTCACAGAACCTATNTAGGTGTTCTCAGCACTGAATTTATTGACTCAGCAGCGTTAGTGGTTCTAATGTCGTATCTCTCACCAGGGAAGACAGAACGAGCCCATTTCCTCACATCAGCCTCCTGTAGATATCTTCCGAGTGCAGGACTAATACCAAAAAGTTCAGTGAAGCGTTCTTGAAATTCACAGAACCTATATGCTCGTGAAGCCTGCTCGACCAATCCAGTCAAACCCCTTGCCTTGAAATTAGTAACCACATTGGTCAACAAGTGGTGGATACAAATTCCATGTGTTGATTGAGGGTAGACGATCGCAATGCCTTTAGCAATCGACGGGTTTCTGTCTGACACAAAAGCTAAGTCTTTACTATCAGCGATAACAACATTCAGCTGTCTAAAGAACCACTCCAGTGAATCGTCGTTCTCAATCAACAACTCCAAATGCAATGGGATACAAATTAGAGTTACCATCTACAGCTGTCGCAACTAGTAGAACTCTTTTGTATTTGTTTTTCAGAAAAGTTCCATCAACGACAATCACCCTCCGCATTGTTCTGTGGTATCCTCTAACTGATTGCCCAAACGACAAAAAAAGATACAAGAATCTGCCATCCTCTTTTGTTTGATAGCCAGTGTGCGTTCCAGGATTTGCTTCTTTCATCATATGCAAATATTTTGGTATTTTAGCATAACTTTCATCTGGTATACCTCTAGCAGCAGCAATGGCATACTCACGAGCTTCCCAAGCGTGCCAATAACTAATCTTGCAGCTATACTCCATTCTCATAAACTGGATAATCTCATTTGCTCTTGGGCCATCATTGGCATCATCAAAACGATGTTGTATCAGAGTGCCAATTGTTCTTGCTGAGGTTTTTCTTCCAAAATTGCTCTTCTTTGAAGGAGCATATGAATGATTTGTCACACACTTATTGATCATGAAATATGTAAACCCATCAAGACATTCTGCACGCACAGTCCACTTGCACTGCCTATCCTTACATCGTATATACCACCATTTTGTTGTGGATTTGACAACAATGTAATCGAAGTGTTTCTGCATAGCCCATATTTCCATCGTTGCCTTCAGAACAACTTTGTTTCTGAAAATCTGATCCTTCTTCACGTAATCTGATCTCCAAATTCGGCCAGCCTTTTCACTATGTCCATTGTTTTCTATCCCAAAACCAGGTTCTGAAGAACCATACTCCTCGGCATGATCCTTACTTTTCTTAGAAGCCTCCTTCGATGGTTTGACAAATTCAGTTCGATTTATTTCATGAACTTTGTCATCCTCAACATTACTTTCATCAGAAGGCACTTTATTCAAATCGATATTGACTCGTTCCTTAACACCAACAGAGAACGTGACTCACAAGGTGGTAGACGCACCCTTCTTCACATAGCACACAAAATTAGACACTTGTCGATCATTGGTGATAATAATGGGAGGATTTCCTCTCTGATTGACCATCTCATAACTAAACTCGACAGTAACAACATTAGGGTCCACCCCAAAATCGTCACAGACCATGATCTTGAGCTGCTCCAAGTTTACTTGTTTCTAATGTTACCATTCGACCACCCCTTCCTTTCTCTACTGCAAAACTTCACTGGTCACTCCAACTAGACGTCCATGAACCGGATTTAACTTAGATTAGAACCATGTTCTCACTACAAGAAAACATTGATTTTGAAACTACAATTTGCAACCACAGCAGTGGTTACAAAATTTTGCAACTAATTTCTAACCAATTTGCAACTTTAGTGCTACTACACGTAATGTGTCATAAGTGAGTTGCAAATATGCAACCAAAACGTGCAGTTGCAATATGGTCGTTTATTTGGGAGCAATATGTGACTCTTTTGCGACAATACACGGAGGTATCAAAATATATGTAAATTTACAACTGATTTATGACTATGTATCTAGTCAGAAACATTTATTTCAAAATTACACAATTATATAATTTGAATATAGTTGTCGTAAAGTGGTAAACTTTTTTTGTAATGCTTT